ATGAAATACAATTAATACATCATATTATCAATACTTCCTATTATCAAAACCTATTAACTCAAATATATAACAATATTACAAACTTAAATATATCTAGATTTTAGTTTTATACTGATGCTCTATTAAAAATCTACAAACTTCAAATCTGCAATCTAGTATTGGATAGATCTGTGAAAAAAACCTATCTATTAAATTCAATACAGCAATTCACCCCTCTCTAGACTCCTTTTGTTCTGAATTAAGTGTAGTTATTTCTCTTCTCTTAGTTATAATAATTAATTCTACAATTATTATTCTCATTGACAACCTAGTAACAATTAACAACCTACTTAATTTTTTATCTTCTAAATTTATTTAAAACAAAAACTGGGATATAATTACAATTATCAATTCTATTAAACTAACCAAAAATATTTCTATTATTTCTATTAAAGTTAAATCACACTCAAAAAACTTTATTCATAACCGCTCGATAAAGATTTGAAAAATAATCAGCAAACTATTTATCATAAAAAAACACTTCAATACCAACCAAAAAACAAAAATAATAGAAATTACACATATAAATATCACAAAACCAGTGAATGGCATCCATATCAACAACATGATGAAAATAATGAACAGTACCAAAATCAGCAATACTGTATAATGAAAATAGTGAATTATATACATATTCGCAACATAATAAGAGTAACAAAAGAATATACCAACAACAAATTCAAAGACAAGAGATCGTAACTGCTTATGATAGACAAGTAACTTATGATACTATGGAATTCTTGGAAAAATAGATTGAAATCGCTGGTTATTACCCTGACTGGCATGAAAGAAGGAAATTTCCTAATAATGAAGTTAAAAGATCTATTGATGGACCAGAAGACGCTGAAGAATTTTCAATTGTTCTGCTTGGGTTTAAAAATACATTTAAACGTAAGCCTCCTTTTATTCAAGAAGAAATTAAACAAGAGTTCTATCGTTGGATTAGTTCCACTGGAATTAATGAATATAATTGTCCTGAAAGATTACAACATATTTTGTTTGGGTTTAATGAAATATTGGAAGGTAGAAGTAAAAAGTTCGATAAAGATTTAAAAAATAGCAAGCAAACTCTTGATCATAATTCTCCTGAATATGCTAGAGAATTAAACAAAATGTTTGTTGCTGTTCAAGCTCCATTACGAAATCAAAGAAAAGTAGCTGAGTCTCTTGAAGGCAAAAAACATGATGAAAATGATATTAAAAATAAGTTTACCGGTAACACTGAACAAAGTCAAGGAGTTCTTCATAAATTTGCTAGTGCAGTTAGCTATGTTCATGAAAAGTTTCATTTTTTTCCGCAAGAGGACCGAAAAGAGGTAAGTCATTTAATCATACAAATTTATAAAACACGTATCAGATATTACAACCTTGTTAACTTAAATGGTTTTCTTTTCAATTA